CTTCATTTATTAAGATGCTTCATTGGTTCTTTGCTATTAAATTTATTTTTGTCAGAAATAAGAGAAACCTTCCGTTCTAATGCAGAACATGAGTCAGATATTATTTTATTTTGAATTCTTTGCTAGAGAAGGAATTTCCTTTCTATCTTAAAAAATGAGTCAGGCCTTCCTATACTATGTAATTTTATATAATGAATTTCCTGCTATTGATGTAACCAGAAGCGATTCATTTCGATGATTTAGATGTCAGGTGGAAGGATATTGAATATCGGCACCTACGTGACATTCCTAATTGAAATTCGGCGTGTGCGGTATCTCCTTCGGAGCAACAACGGATCAGCATCGAAGTACGCGAACGTGTGGAATTGTAAGAGTTTAACTGCGTATGTGTAAGGGTAGAGGATAGGACGAGGGAGAGCAAGAATGATCTCGTGCGGTCCGTGGCCCGTTTGTTAGTACATTGCTCCGACATTAATAATAATATTTATTTGGCTACAATTGGCTGATTGCCAGGTGGTAGCCACAACCCTACAGTTTTACAATATATGAATATTTATAAACAAAAAACAATTTACCAATAAAAACAATTTACACTACAACTTCTTTGCGGGAGCATATGCACTCATATATAAACATACACAGACCTGTATACATTTTATGGCAACATATATACCCATACAGCACACAACATTTATACATACACATCCGCATACACTACATACATACACACACATTCTATAACATGAATGCTCACTCTCACGTTCACCACATAACACGAACACACACAACACACTCACCACACACACACACACTTGCCCTAGCATATTATACATGCCTACATTTAATGAACAGAACATATATTTAGTTACACCTAGTAAACATGCACATATATACATATAACATTAAAATTAACCAGTTATAATCAAATTTGTTTTTTAATATAAACCACAAATGTGGAATTTTTAAAAGTTAGGCTCATTTTTTTTTTTTTTTTTTTTTTTTTTTAATGCATTTAGATTTGCTCCCACTATCGTGTCGCACTTCACTTCCACTTTCACTCACTTGCACTAGCATTACACTCCACTCCACTACACTTTCACTACATCTTTCATTTGGGTTATGCCATATAACTAACTTAAAGTAGCTTTCGCACTGCACTGGACTACAGGGAACTACACTTTATCTTATAATAATCTACAAACTTGTTGTATTCTGGAGGCTGTGCGGTAAATTACAGCCTACAAGTAACCTTATTAAGTCGTCTTCTAAAAACACCAAACAGAACCAGGAAAAGGCTCTAGACCGCTGCAGGGAATTTCATTCCAATTTTTTACCCGTACGATTTATCAAATGAATATTTCCCTACATCGATCTCTGGACATCTAGCTTTTTATTTTGCATTTGTGATCGTTTCTCCCAACGCTTTGGAGGGGAGTCTAGTCTTTTCGTTATTTCTTGCCCATGCAGGTGACTTACTGTAACGCCTTGAAGGGCAGCACAATCTGGCTTTTTTTCTTCGCACACGTGGAGGCCACTAAAGCATTTTGGTGATTTGGAATACTGAAGATCCTTATTTATGAATTTGATTGCCTTTCTTTTGAAGATTTTTTCCTAATGCTTCAATCTGGACCTAATCTGTATGGATCCCATGCCAGCTGATGCGTATTCCAAGAATCGCCTAACTAAAAGATGTGTTATCCTATTTTTCGACTCTCCATGTTTCCCTTTTTTAGTGGTTTTCTGCATTAAAGGTTTTTTTTTTTTTTTTTGTAAAGTGGGGGGGGAACTTCCACGCTTTTCGGGCAATAGAAGTAACGGTGTTCGCCCCCATCCCAATGTCTTGGGCGGTAATATGACACCCCAGATATCTTACAGTAACACGGGATACTTGTGGAATGAATACGCCTGCCATTTGTATTCTAAAGAAACCTTCTTTGCTGATTTCGAAAAGCTTAGTCATTTAAACTTTTTACAGCATTTTATCTCTTTTATTAATGGTAGCCAGGAATGAATGTTATTAAGATCGCTTTGAAGTGTGAGAATATCTTCATCCATCTATTCGCCGATAAATTATCAGTCGTTGCCGCAAATAGCGCATTACTGCCTTACTAATACAAGAATGGCAGATTTGTTGACGAATGCCGAAACAACAGGGACCTAAGACAGCTTCCTGGGGGACGCCGGACGTAATTAGGGTTTCCTCTGGAATGTTCATGTCCAACTCGAACTTGTTGAAGCCCGATTTATTCAGGAATTCCCGTATTCATGCTTGTTACGCCGAATTATCAATCCGTAGATGCTATTTCGTAAGTAGTAATATCGTGTGAAACAAGATCGAATGCTTTTGAAAATTCTTTATAACAATTGGCGTCCTGTTCTCTACGCCGAAATGCTAAAGTTTTCAGCAAAATATCCCCTTTGAACACGTTGTAATAATTTGGCTTTCACACGAGAAAGGATTTTCGAAATCCATGTTGCCCTTCGTTACGGCACGCCAGTTTGTCCGCCATTCCCGACGCAAGAAGCTCAGCTTACCAGAGATGTTCCAGTTTGTTTTGGAAATCACTGACGTTAGGCTTACTGGTCTGTAATTGGAAATGGTCAGGGCTTTGTTTCACAGAAAACTATCAAGACCACCGGTTTTCGCAGACGTCTACTCAAACAGAATGTATTCGATCTAGTTATTTCGCTTGAGTCGCAAAATCCTCCACCATCGAATTCGAAAACTTTTTTAAAAAAAGGGGGGGCCCCCTTTCCCGGTCAGATCAACACTAAGCGATAATAGCTGGCTGCGATGTGCCTAATAACCCAGTTCTTTGTTGTCAGTGCACAAAAAATTAATACTACGAGGAATGTTGAAAAGAGACGATGGTATTTGTTCATTAGATAATTTTGTGTCTTTGCCTCTCAGATAGAGTTTTGAGTGTTTTAAGAACACTTGATGGTACAATCCTTTTTCAGGCCACAAAGCCTATGCAAAAGAAAACATTCATTAATTTTGAGCGCATTCCATCGTTTTAACATTTTGTTTAGGCTTCTCTTTCGAGCGTGGACGACGTCAGCAAGGAGCCGACTGTTCTATTCAACGAACATTAGTTTGTTTGGCCAGGTGAATGTTCGCAGTTGGAACCCTGCCAAGAGGGCGAAGGAAAGGTATGGTAGGGTTTTTTTTCACCTGAAACGAAATTGTATATGAATTGACAATGGTAAAAGATTACTCGAGACACTGATATTCTTTGTCTTCATGCCCACTTGATCATTGGCATTTCTCGTTTTTTCCTGCAAATCCCATCCTCCGATTACGAAAACACAAAGAGAGGAGCGCAGTAGTTAGTGCTTTGAAAAGGTTCGTGTGCTGTGTTGTGTAAGCCGATCTACCTGGCCGTGAGCTGTGTGGAGACGGCCCCGAGGGCGTTTTGCGGTGTTGCCAGTGGGGCTGATCTGCCTGGCCGTGGGCTACCTGGACGGGTGGAGCGCCTTCGCCCTGTCCTTCTTCAAGGGCCTCCCGAAGGCGACAGGCGAGGAGGGCGCGTGCCGGGGCAACGCCTCGCTCATGGGCTCCATGGTGCTCTCCGGCCTGCTGGTGGGCCCCACGCCCTTCCAAGGGCCCCTCGACCGCCCCGCCGCCCGCATCTCCTCGCTGGTAAGTGCCTTCCCCGCCCTTCCGCGCGCTCAACAAGCAACTCCTCAAGGAGAGTTACGTAATGTGGAAAAGCTCCTATCGCAGGGCCCTCGTAATAAATCCTCTATCGCGTGGTGTAGCCAGAATCCCTGTTTCGTGGGTCATTGATACAGAACACATGATTGACAGCAAAACGGTTTTCCGTCATTCTGTCCGCCCGTCCGTCTGTGAACAAAGCTAGCGGTTAAACCGTTTAGCCGATTTTCTCTAATACTAATTTTCCCTCATCGATCTGGCTGACCTTGCATATGAAATCGAATTTTAATTTTTGGAACACTTTACACAAAGCCTCTAGTTTTGTATATTGAATTTGGCTGGATTACACCAAACGGGACAAGCAGGTGTGCGAGAGGAACAAATAGCAGAAGTACTGTAAATTAATTTGGCCATTTTAATGCGAAATAGCTAATACCTTATATTTCGTGGCGAGACTCAGGCAATCAGGTTCTCTCTTCCCTCTGACCACCCAAATTTCGCTACGCTTATTTCACCATCTAGCGGAGAAAGGAGGTATCTCGGACGCGAAAACAGGCGATTTTGAATTTAGTTCCGAGACGTCTTTCAGGCTCGAGGTTTTTTTGCATGCAATATATCTACTCCATGGGCTACTACAGAGGGCTTTACTTGCCATGCGAATTAAGGCGTACGATCGGGTTTGAACCCGCACACTTGCGTACAACAGTCCGATACGCTAACCGTTACACCACCGAACCCCTAAGATGGGAGTTAGTATTTTTTCCCTTCAATTCGTTGCGTCTCCAAGTCCTCTGGAAGGCGTTGATCGCTTTGTGCTCCTGCGTTAATATCAGAGCTGACATATGTCAGTCGCAGTCAGTTATCAAGAGGATTGCGCCTCCCACCACGCGCTCTGCATCACTACCCAGCAGCCATTTCCGGTTGGGAATTAGGATTGGGGTAGGGTTTAGGACTCTTCAGAGGGGTTGTGCCATCTAGGCTACCCGTGACGAACCGCTTCACTGACATGGGTGCTAACGTTTCGGCCAGCCTATCCTCATATCGTACTTTATGGGGGGTTGGACTGGCCCTTGTGAAGCAGCCAAACTGGTTTTGTCGGATCAAATTTCACATGGGAATGCCCGGGATTCGACGGGAATCGAACCCGTGTCTCCTTGGGGAAGGCGAGCGACTTCGCTCTGAGCCACCAGATGACTTACTACAGATTGAAGTTTGTGTATTCTTCTCTTGGTTGTGTGTGCTGTACAGAGGCTAGTTGCAGGTGGCCTTGGGCGGGCTGCTGGGGGCGCTGCCGGCGGGGGCCCTGGCCGAGTCCATTGGCCGAAAGGGCTCAGTGCTGCTCCTGACGGTGCCGGTCATCGCCGCCTGGGCGCTCACTCTCATCTGCAACGACTCGGTAACCAACCGCAGCCCCCTCCCCTCCCCTCTCCCGCCCCATCATACGCAATGCGAATCGGGGAAAACAGGAACGGAATAGGTGACATTTCATACGCTCTAACGTACTTATTAGAGGCTATATTTCAGTGGTAATGTATTTTCGTGGTTTTAATAAACAATTGAAATAACGTGGTGTTAACGACGAAGCAAAGCACCACGACCTTACAGTAATATTGAATTCAATAAACGATTTCCGTAGAATCTATAAAACGTCACCTCTACCGTTCTGGTTTTTGCCCATTTATATAGTATAGTATGCCCTTAATATAATTTTGGGAGTCTGAAGCCTTCGAGATTTGTTGACTAAATCGTAGTTTCAACGTGAATCAAATGCTGCTGCTGCTGCTACTACTACTAGTTTACCAAGCTATTACTAGTAATAATAAAACCAATAATACATACATACTATAAGTAATTAATATAAATACCACCATATTATAGTGAGTATGTACTAATTTATATGCATTCATTAATTTTCAAATGACGTTCTGATTGTACTCAATCCTTGGGTCCAACCTGGTAAGTTGGTAGCTCTGAACTGAAAGGCGGAAGTGCTTAATGCTCGACAGGTCCGTTTAGTTGCGTTGGGCGTCACTCTCACTGCCCAATAGCGCAAGTCGAACAGGATAGGTAGGGCTAAATGCTTTGAGGTAGAAAAACCTCCCCTTGTATGAAACTGAGTGTATTCAGGCGGCTTGGTGCCTGAGAACACAAGATTCTCATATACATACTTTTTTTACACTGTATTATAATGCAGTTATAAATTATGACGGTTGTCGCATTTGTATTACATTTTTGTATGTAAGTTGACAGACGCTTACATTTAAAAAGTGTTGAAATGCAATAATTACTGTTCTAAACTACTAATATGATTTACAATATTATACAAAAACATACTAAGACTTCGGGCGGGCGTAATTCTGCTACTTTTCCCTGTTACTCGACTATTAAAAAAATAGAGACGGTCTAATATGTGCTAATAAATTCATTCTAGATTTTACGCGCGTTCATTTCGTTCTTTTTTTGCGTTTGATTAGTTTCATTTTTTGATTTTTGTTTAATTTTATTTTTTTGCACTTCGTTATTTTCGTTCTGTTTGTCCGTTTATTAATTACTTTCCTTTTGATTGAATTTATTATCTTTGCACTTTCATTCATTTCTATCTATATTTATCTACGGAATCACTTCGCTCTATATTGTTTGTCGATTAATTTCGCTCTATATTGCGAGTTGTTTCATTTACTTAAAATAAAAAGACAAAAACAAAATATCACAAAATGGGGTGGTATATGCCTACGTGAACTGACATGCTTTATTTATAATAAAAAAATTAAATAATTCTAGACCCGATTGTCCCACATTTGGATGGCAATAAGAAATATCGAATTATACTCGATACACTAATTTAATGCACCAAGAAAAAAGAGCACACATCCCTTTTAATATAATTTATTCGCTTATCTGGTTTTCATATTTTAGAGAATGTGTTTGTTTGTTTTTACAGTAAATTCTTTAAGCTATTTTGAAGTATTAATGTAATATATGTGTGTAATCAACATAACGTCATGTTTCCTCGTACACAGCTGTTTGGAATGTATTTCTCTCGCCTGATGGTTGGTTTCACGATGGGGGTAGCGTCGATTGTGGTGCCGATATACACGGAGGAGATCTCAGAGGTAAGTGCGCTTCACGGGGCAGCGGAAATGGTTTCCATTGACTCCCATACGCCTCCCGTAGCATCAACCCTGGATAACAACCAACACCCTGGCCACCCACCAACCAACCCATTAAATTCTTTGTGTTAATAATTGGTTTATATATATATATACATATACATATATATATATATATATAGGGCTGATCAGGGCGGATCATTATTGAGGAAAGTCACAAGACTCGAAACCCAGATCTTGGTCCGAAATCACTACGGTACTACTGCCTTTACGATCCTCTCCCTGAGAGAGGCCACGAGCAGATGGTCGAAACTCTTGGCTGTCCGGGCCGCGCCCAGGTCTGACATGTCGATGTTTCGACCATTTTGTGGTAGCCTTCCGCAAAGATGATGCACCCTGACAAGCCCTGAGGAAGACCACGACCAGATGATCATTACGTCAGCATTTAAGGCCTCGACGCGGCATCAACCTGACTGCCAAGACCATTCGCAAGACAGCCAGCGCGTCTCACGGACAGACAATTGGAGACAAACAGAGTGAGTCAGACGGACAATTACAGAGCGAGACAGAGAATCAAAGTCAGACAGACCGAGAGAGACAGAGAGGGAGTCAGAGAGACAGACCGAGAGAGACTGAGAGACCGAGAGAGGTGAGAGACCGACAGACACAGAGAGAGACAGAGAGAGACACACAGAGAGAGACAGCCAGACAGTCAGTGAGACAGAGTCAGACACAGACAGCCAGAGAATCAGTCAGTCAGAGAGCCAGAGAGAGGGGGGAGAGGGGCAGAGAGATACAGAGACATTGAGACTAAGAGAGACAGAGAAGCAAAGAGAGAGGCAGAGAGACAAAGAGAGAGACAGAGAGAAAGAGAGAGACAGAAAGAGGCAGAGAGGCAGAGAAACAAAAGAGAGCCAAAGAGAGAGAGACAGAGAGACATACAGTCAGTGAGAGAGAGTCAGAGAGCCAGAGTGAGGGAGAGAGGGGGGACGTGGGTGCGCAGGTGCGTGTGCGCGGCGCGCTGTGCGTGTGGGCGCGGGCGCTGCGGCACGCGGGGCTGGCGCTGGCCGTGGCGCTGGGCGTGGCCCTGCCCTTCCCGCACACCACGCTGCTGCCGTGCTTCGTGCCGCTCGCCCTGCTCGTGCTGCTGCCAGGCGTGCCCGAGTCGCCCGCCTTCCTCGTGCGCAAGGGCCTGCTGCGCGAGGCGCGCCTCGCCCTCAGGTACGCTCTCTGCCTTCCCCCGTCCAATTCAAACTTGCAATCACTCTTCCTCTCCCACGCCATGCATTTCGAAACCCGAAATATCTCGAAATAGGCGTTACATCGAATTCCGGTGTATCTCGAGTTCATGGATATTTCGAAATCCACGATATATCGAAATCCGTGATATGTAGATTACGTGATATATCGAATTCCGCGATGTCTTGAACTCCGCAATAGCTCATACAGTTATGGGCATAAATGTAACTCCACAATGTGCACTGTGGTTTGATGCGACAAGCTTGAAAACAGTCAATTTAAGTTACGTACGCCACCCTGTACTATCATTTTTTAAGGAAAAAAGCGCACCGCGCTAGAATACCCATACTTTTACTAGGATTTATTTACTTCTTGGTTGTCCGGGTGACGCCACCTAGTTGTCTGAGAGGCCGACGTTTTGCCTGTCATGTCCAACGCTTTCTCAGGGTAGTGATTGTGACGCCGCCTTCGATATGACAGGCGAAACGTCGGCCTCTCAGCCAACGACGCGGCGTCACCCGGACAGCCTAGAAGTCATGAACTGGAGCCGCGGAAGCCTACGTGTAGGATTTATTTAATCACGTAAATCAGCTATTGACGGTTTCATCCAATTGGGAGCTTAATCGTTTCACTAGCGGTGTATAAGCTCTGGATTCGATGAAAGGGCACCAGCTGCTTGACGTCAAGTGAATCGCACTGTGTTTCCTTAAGCGCGCGCGTGCCGGTGGCAGGTTCCTGCGAGGCCGGTGGGCGGACGTGGAGCAAGAGCTGTCCGCCCTGAGGGAGCGCCTCCGCCCGCAGCGCGCCGCCGCCGCCGCCGCCCCCGCCGCCGCCGCCGCCGAGGGGCCGCTGGGCGCGTGCGCCGCGTGGCTCAGGCTGAGCCAGCACCGGGGCACCCGCGCCACCCTGCTGCTCATGCTCTTCCGCCAGCTGTCGGGCGTGCACGCCGTCGCCTTCTTCACAGTAAGCCTCCCTTCCTCCCTCTCTCATCTCCCTTCTTAACTCTCCTCTACCCCTTCTCCCTTCCTCTATCTCCACTCCCTTCCTCACTACCTTCTCCCTCCTCTCTCCCCCCTTCCTTCTCCTTTCCTCTCTTTCTCCTCTCCCATCTCCCCTCCTCCCTCTCTCATCTCCCTTCTTAACTCTCCCATCTCCCTTTTTAACTCTCCTCTTCCCCTTCTCCCTTCCTCCATCTCTTCTCCCTTCCTCACTCTCCTCTCCCCATTCTCCCTTCTTCCCTCTTCTCTCTCTCCCTCCTATATCCCTTCCTCTCTTTCTCTTCTCACTCTCTATCTCCTCTCTTTCCTTCTTTTTCTCCTCTCCCTCATTCTCTCCTCCCTCTCCCTTCTTCCTTCCTCTACTTCCCACTCCCACCCTCTCTCTCTCTCTCTCCTTCCCTCCCTGCACCCATCTACACAATGTTTTCCCATTCCAACCATCACATCTCCACCTCCATCACTTGCCCATCCCCTCGTCACTACCCACCCCCACATACCTTTCCACCCTCTTCCCCACCGCATTTACCCATCCGTTCATCCACTCCCACACACCCCTCCACTCTACGCACTTCTACACATGCAATACCCGTGGGGCGGGATTAACAGCTGAAAGCGGAAAATCTGGCGTAACTATTGAGCTACATAATAACTTTGAAATATCGAATATAATCGAAATGAACACGAAAACTAATCACGGCGAAAGATTTCACATTCTTTGTAACTTTTGCAATTTTCAAAAATTCAGAGATTTTAACGAAAGTACATAATAATAGGGCAATGCAGTATAACACTATGTTTCGATGATACTTCGACCATTACTTCACATAAAAATTAAATAGATTTTACCATTAAAACATAAATATTGATGCGAGAGAGTCAATATATTCTTCGTATACAGATCTAGAAATAAAATATTGCTTTTTTTGTTTAGATGAATCCACGTGTATGCGAATTATTAGTTATATCAATTTATTTGACAAAATCATAAAAATATTAATAAAATAAACTGCAAGTGCTGGCTTCAGTAGCTGCTCTCCGCTCCTTGGTAGCCATTTTCCGTGGCATTGTTAAGATTAAACTACAGTCAGAAAGCACGAAAGATCACAGTTATCGGTGCTTCGGTGGTACAAAGATTGGCGTATCGGGCTGTTAAACCCAAGTTTGCGGGATCAAAGCCGGCTAAATTTTTAAGGGCGAAAAATTGTTTTGTACACTTTTCTAGAAGTAAAGCAGACAGTTCCACGTTCTAAATTTACTGCATGTAAAATATACTCAAGCTGAAAAATACTGTCTGAGCTATATTAAAATGGCCTGTTTCGTCGCCCGAATAATATCAACTATCGTGGCAATCTTTAAATTATTTCAGCCCACAATTTTATAAATAATGTACATTCTTTCAGCTCATACGCTTTTTAATACATGACACCAGTGCAACGTTGCATATACAATTTAATCTTGTAATAATGTGTTACTTAACCATTTGTTGCATCATCCATGCCAATCGTTCGATGCAATCTTGATATTTTCAAGTTCTTATAAAATGAATCATCGTTGAATTGAGTTGGAGCGAGCCATATGTTGTGCCCGCAGGTGGACATGTTCAGTGCCGCTGAATCGGCTGTCTCGGGGCAGGTGTGCGCCGTCATGATCGGCGTGGTGCAAGTCGCCGCCACCGTCCTCTGCAGCCTGGCCGTGGACACGGTGGGCAGGCGGCCCCTGCTCTTCTGCTCGGCGCTGGGCATGGCGGTGAGTCACCCTCCCCCCCCACACACACACCAGTGGCACGGGAGCGTAGAAACATTCAGCCGGGCCTCCTTTATAAAAGCGTATGGCAAGCACAGATGCTGTTAGTACCTTAATGAATAATAATGTAATTTAACAAATTCATATCCAACAGCTTATGATTGCTACGTAAGAAATTAATGTTGCTATAAATAACAGATTATTTTGATTTGGAAACAGGACTAGAACAAGCTATCGAAGCGGGAAAGTGTCTTCTGGAAGATGCAGTTTTTAACCTTTTATTTTTTCAACCATCGCAAACTATCGGAAGAGTATTAAGTAATTAATATTTATTACAATTGCAAAATCTTCAGCCTAAAAATATGCCTTCTTTTGCCTGGGCCCGCTCGCATTGCGGGCCCTAAACACTACGCCACTGCGTTGGCAGTTTGATGTGGAAGATGTAAAAGGGAGTACTCAGGAGATATTTAAATGTATGCTGCGTAAATAGTGTTACGTTCAAAAATGAAAAACGCCAAGATATAGTCGTAGATGTATGCCAAAAAGGTAATCTAGTTTTATGCACAAACAGCTCAAGCTATATAAACGCTGAATTATTAATTAGTCAATGTTTGGTAGTATACAAAAAAACTAGTGGTGCTAAAACCGCACGCACTTTCCCGCCCGAATTTTCACACAAATTTGCGAGAAAATAACTCAATTTTTCGAAAAATTGTACATAACCTTATTTCAAAATCAATATTTAAGAAACAGAATTCATTAAGAGAAAAAACTTGTATCTTTAATATTGTGGTTGTAGGAAGACTCTGAAAAAATTCTCTTAAACGTCCTTCAGACTATTCAACAGCAAAATTTAATCAAAATCAATCAAGCTATCTTTTTTGGAAAATTTTGAAGATGTCCCAGGTGCTTCATATAAAGTATTCCCAAAAAAAAAAAATGTTTTAAATTCAAGGGGTCACGACATCAGTCAGATCGATTGGGTGGATATAAGTTTTTGGAGAAAATCAGCTGAACGATTTCGCCGCTAGCGTTCTTCACAGACGGGCAGACTGACGTTTTGGCGTCATTCGCTTTTTCGGTACGGTAAAAGACAAATTCGAAATGCGGCTTTGCCCGTGTTGCCTGCGCCGCCGCGCAGTGTTGTGAGTCCGGTGTGCGCGACAGGTGTGCCACATGGGCCTGGCCTACTACTTCAAGTTCCTGGTGGCGGGGGAGGACGCCCGCGGCGTGTGGTGGCTGCCCGTGCTCATGGTGTCGGGCTTCATCGTCATGTACTCGCTGGGCTTGGGGCCGCTGCCGTGGCTGCTCATGGCCGAGCTCGTCCCCGTGCGGGACAGGAGGTGGGCCGCCGGGCTGGCCGGCGCCGTCAACTGGGGCGCCATGTACCTCGTCTTCCAGGTCAGCATTCGCTCCTGGGACTTTGCCAACTCTTTCACTGCGAGAATGCCAATCTACACCCTTTTCCTGTCCTTCCATTTCCATATTAAGAAGGAAACGTTTTTATCAAAAATGACTAACTTAAGGGCGGGAATATGTTTTCAGCAAACGCCGTTGTCTATAACTAAAACACTCGACGTATTCACCAAGTGACAGTACAAACAGCTCACTACAAAAATTCACACACAATACATGCACATTGTTTCACCACACCTTGCCAGATGTTCCAGACAACACCATTAAATTCGATGCAAAAGTTGAATTCGCAAGTAAAATCTTTTCTGCTGCACAACTGTTTCTATACAGTTAGAGACTATACCGATCATCCAAAAGGAAAGTAATATTAATTTTAAGAATGGCATTTAATGTATTATATACCTCTTGGATTGTATACTTGTAAACAAGTATTGTACTTGAGCTCCTGGGTCAATGACCCCCATCTCGATCAGATTCTCGTCCAGTTTCCCGGATCCTCGAGCAAATGCTGAGATGGCCACTTGTTTTGCTTCTCGACATAAATGAAACTTCAAATCAATTTCTCCTCATAGCACATCACACACAGTTTTTAACTGTTTTTGACGTAAATAAATAATAAGACATCTTAACGAAACGTGCTTATTTGTTTCAAATGTATAAAAGTTACTTCCAAAGTACTTACAGAATATAAACTAAAAATAAAAAACAATGCAATTGATATTTGAATCAAATTGTCAATAAAGGTTTTTTTGAGGATTATAGATATGTTCGTGAAATTAAAACACTTCTTTAAAAAAATTGAAGCAAGTACACAATCTTCCTTGGAAGTCACGAGAATATTAGAAAAGATTTTTACTTTTGGAGAAAGTTACGTAGAGTTGTCCATGCAAAAGCACAGGATCCAGCAAATATAACCGCACTCCTTGCAATGTATGATATTGAAATTGCAGTGCAATGTATTATCAAGAGAAGCCGACCAGCAGAAATGTAAAAGAATGTCCTAGAATATCTCAGCCTGTAGATTTCTGTACGAGGAAGGTCCTAGAACACTTCGGTTTGAAGTTATATAAATATAAAAATTTCAGCAAAGCCGCTAGAGAGTTGCGGGATTGCTTTTGACAAGAATATTTAATGCTTTTTTCTTTCAACAAATTCTTAGTATTTTTAACGTTTAAATTCAAGTTCCCTTCAAGTTCTCTTTCATTAGAGAGCTCATTGGTTGCGTGTGAGAGCCGCAAAACACATCTGTACTTCTGAAATAATATAAGAGAGGATTAGATGGGAGAGAATATTATTTACAAATTACTCGTACCAAAGTCGCTCGTTTCTTCCTGCACTCATGTATATAAAAGGCATTTTAGGGTTGCATTAATCTGACTTTTCCAGCTAGCAGAGTCTTGGTTTCATTTATTATCCACGCCTGCGGGCGTGGGAGACGTGTGGCGATAAGGAATTACATTACAAATATAAATGTAACTTCAAATTAACTTCTCCCCATAGCAAGTCACATAGTTTTTAAATGTTTTTGACGTAAATAAATAAATAAATCTTATCTCCGAATCCAGCATACTTGGGCGGTCGGCCCTTTTTTTTTTTCGCCCCACAGCTGTAAACAGAGACGATTTGTATATTAAAAGACGCCGCTCTATTTTTGCCCCGGTCGGGAATCGAACCCGAACCCGCGTCATAGGAAGCTAGCGCGCTCATCACGACCCATCCTCGGTCACCGAACTCATAAATCACTAGGGTAGAAATTCCAGAGCTCAATTATCGGAAATTATTTTTGCTTTAAAGTTTCGTGACAAGTTAAAATTAATAGTTACTGAACAATTTTAGGGAGGGGTAAGTTTCCCTCATATCCCTCCCCGTGGATCCACGTTTGTACAAACATATTTTGACATTTCATTACAATATTTTATAATTTTTTCCAGACTAGAGAGCCCTATGCATGAAAGGCCTTTAACTCTAAAGAATGTGAAAATAAAACATTCACCAACTAAAGGAGTTCACGAGAAAATGAGATGATGAAGTTCAGTAAAGAAAGAGAATTAACTATTTATGAAGTGTGTTGGTGTGAAACAATATTGCCTGCCGGAACTAAAAGAAAGTATAATATTTAAATTTCAAAATATGAAGTAGTTTATTTTTGAACACTATGAGTATTCTATGGTTTTTCTTGTGAATTTTTCAAATAATTTACTTACACTTCCATTGTGCTGGAAGTAAGTCTCAATTTTTTTCTTATTTTTACTGAGTTAGCCCGGATCCAGCATTGCTGGTGCCTCTGCAATTATTCTAACTGGGAGGTCCCAGAGTTCAATCTTCCCCACGGTGGCAGACTTTCAACACTAGCTGTAGCTAGGTTGAATATTGCCAGTGTCTAGAGGAGAAATTCTAGCCTCCAACCGGTCTGATTGGTAGTTTTACATGGATTCTTTTTTACCAATATCAGACAAATATCACAGTAGTACCCTGACAACTGGCCCATGGACAATATCCCCTCCTCTTCCCTTACACACACACATTTACAGTACATGCACCAACTTCCACAATAGGAGACTAGTCAGAAGTCCAGAGCTTCCCAAGGCTAGGTCGGTTCCTTCTACTGCAGCTGGAGGAGAAAAATCCCCTACATCGCAATGTGAAGCTTCACACCACTTATCATCATCCAGTGAGAGAACAACCCTGCCACCTTCTGTAATCACAACATGCCCCACACTTACAGGACTCATGACTACAGTAGTGGACATGCCTCAGAACATCAATCAATTATTCATTTTTCTGTTTTTTTGACAAGTGTTACAAGAAATTTTGAAACCTTATGGGTTGTCTTGAAAATTGCTCATTATTAGAGAAAAGGACTAATACTCAGCAGTGACTTCTATTTTGCTATCTGTTTTGTGCAGGCATACAGTCTCTTCACTGGTGTGGCAGGCTACCAGTTTGCATTCCTGTTCTTCTCCATGACTTGCTTCACGGGATCCGTCTTTGTCAGCCTGTGTGTGCCTGAAACAATGGGAAAGACACTAGAAGAAATTCAAGATACCTTGCATGGAGTCATTAAGAACCAGTAAGTATGCCACACAAGCAGTCAAAAAATTAACAAGGCTTGCATTTCTACAGAACTAGTGACCTGCAACAGTAAAAACTGTGACCTACTGCTGAACTAACCAACACAAAATGGATTTGTTAAAAGTAGCATGCACACTTCTCATGAACAACAACTATATCTTGTATAACATTGCAACAAATGAAATATTTAAATGAAGCCAGTCTCCACAAATCATAATAACATAGAATAGTAGTATAACTGGAAACAATTCTTTACCAAGAAAAGAAAAAAAGTTGCTGTTTCATATTGCAACAAATCAATAGGAAATATTTAATGGTGGGTGGCCTCTTCCTTGAAGACTTGCTGTCACATGACATCAGTTGAGTTGTAAGCAGTGACACCCAAGTCTGAGAATTCAGTTGGTGCGTGCAGTGTGAAACAGATGAAATAACAAAATTAAATAGGTATTTGCATTTTTCAATACAAATTGAAAATGTTTAATTTTCTTTTATTTTTCCCTGATTTCCTGGGTACCTAATGGAACTGTTAATACCTCTCTTACGGCTAGAGGCTAGATGGTTTTTTTCAAACCTCTGTGCGCATTGAAAATTAGTAATTACTAATATATGGAATAACACAAACCTAAATATGTTCTTACATATGGACTACAAATGTTCAAAATAAAGAGTGAAATAAGGTTGTAAAAAAATTGAATAAAAGGATTAAAATAGTGAAAATTATATATTAATCACATGTTTAGTTACATAAATAGAATGGTAAACACACTTGGTTTTAATATTAGCTGTAAAACAATATTAAATCGAATATTCTACGATGATAGTTTGAATATGGTTGCATTGTTGAAAGTTAGTTTCATAATCATTTTTTGATAATTGGCCATTTACAATACTGTTTTAATGGCCAATTTACTGTTCTACAGATAGTAACATTTACCATTTTACAAATAGTGATATTTTATTGGTTACTTTTATAATTTTATTAATTAATGTATATTACTGAAGATTATTTTTTTTATAAAGCAAAAAATCTACAGTATCTATGAAAATTTTAAGCTTCCTTGTAGGATTTTTGAAGCACCAATAACATTTATTTTACCTTATGAATTATGGCAAAGAGTGTCATTCTCAAAATAAATAGATGTTCAAAAATGGAAACAGTTGGACAGAGTAATTTACATGTCATGTCATGTGATGTAATTTTACTAAATTCAGGATTTATTGAAGTTTTCACCAACTTGATTGAACATATTTAACAATGAAAAAATTACCAATTGTGATGATTATGGACCATTTATTCAAAGTTCTATTCCTGGTTATGAATCAATTAAAGCACTCTGCTTAAAGTAGCCCTATGCCATACTTTCAACAAAAATAAGATAATCCTACTAGCATACTATTTTGAGTATTATATTTTGGGCAAGTGTTGTGGTGAAGGTAAAACAAATAATGCTGTACCGCAAATTTCTGCTTTACTCATGTTGAGGAATGTAGGATTCAAACTTTTATTCTCTCATTTCTCAGAAAGAATTTGATGGGGTGGAGGACTATCTACTAACTGGTATAGTGCTCTTTAAAGTCAAGCCTTTCAATAAGACATTATCTTCTATTATAATCTTAGAATGTGTGCAGAATGGTTTTTCAACTAATAGTTTTACATTTTCTGTTTCAGGGAAGAGTAAAGAAATTGGAAAAGTGCAATGTATCTGCAATGGAACATCTATTCCAGCGAAAAGTGCAAGCACACGGAAAGATCTAGAAATGCTTGACAATTCGCTGTTCTATTTACAACAGAAAAGCTTTGAAAAGGAAATGATAAAGGATTTTTGACCAACAAAATTATCATGAAGGTGGGATCAGATTTAAATAATATATTAAAAATAACTAGAGAAAACTGTATTAAAATATATGCAGCTTGCAAAGAAATGAGCAACAAGATTGAATTTTAGTTACCTTGATATAAATCTTAAAACAAGTGAATAAGATCAGAAAGGTAAAATGCAGATATACAGGAAGAAGATGTACAAAGGAGGCAGGAGAGCACAGAAGTTTTAGAAGAAAAGATATGTTAAGGTTTTCCAAGAAAAGGATAATGAAGAAAATATGTGTGTTAGGGATGGGAGAAAGAAGATGCAATGGAATAATATTAAAAGGAAAGAATGGCGATACGAAGGAAATAACAAAAGGTATTTCACATGGTCAGTAGATGACCAATTCACAGTATTACATTTTCTATTCAGTATTAGACAGAAAATGTTTTTCCTGTAAATATTTCTTGTCACAATCAAAGATTCAACATCTCCCATTCCAATTAAAATTAACCCACCTTCATGATTTTTTCTTTGTATATTTATATTTTTTTTACTAACAAACCAACAAACTACACTCTAGCTTAAACAAATATTTTTTAATTCACCGGGTGATGTTTGAACTGTCTTTCAATATAATTAAATCAACAATATTAAATTCATCATAATTTCTAGAAAATTCATACACACACCACTATTAACTCACAAATGAATTGAAAGCGATCATTTGTAGTTTTGAAATGCACCAGCAAATCGTTAGGCCTTAGAAGGAAAAGTAAAATATCAGTAAAAAAATAAAAAAATTAAAAAGGAGTGTAAGTTTTGTTAATTTATTTCTTTACTAATCTATTTTTTTTCTTTCAACTTCAAATACTTTTATTTATATTTTAGAGTAGGATTGAAATCCCAATGTTTTCAGAAGAAGACAATTTCTAATTAAAGATGTTTCATAACAATTTTGATGAAAAATCAGTACATTCACAGCATAGTGTTTGCATTTTATTTCAGTAGGTATGATAAAAAATGTTTGCAATCAATTGTATCATTTTCCAGTTGTTCTTACATCACTTCCTATGAAGTTCAATCTAAAATTGACATAACATAAAGAAAATTGTACATGTACTAGAAGCTAACCTCCTTATCCAGGATTTTTAGCAATTTCAATTTTTTGCAAGAAATGAGGGCCTGCAAGAGGCTACAAGAAGTGGTAATGACCAAACAGAATGTTGCATTACCACTACTAGTGTTTAAATACCCATTAGGAATTAAAAGATGAACAAAGTGCATCGCACCACATGGGATTTCAATATCGATTTCATTAATTTATTTTTTTCACGCAAATGCTGTAAAGGAAAGCTTAAGTGACAGAGCTAATGTCATTCAAATCACAATAACAAACATATATTTCTGAACTAGCCTTAAGCTACAAAATTTTCATATTATAATATTTCATTTGATATTCATATTGACCTCTAATACCACACTAACTATAACCATGATGAAATTTCCATGTTAATGCTCATGAAGGACATTTGAGTGGTAAATCTTACGTAAAATTTTAAAAACTGCAAATAAATTAAATTAACTTATTGGATTATTTTATAACAAAAGATTAAACATGGCTTCATTCACTTGGAAGTTAATTATAATAAAGCTTTCTTTTAGCCTTTGCTATTCTTAATTAAGAGTTTCTGAATAGAGTAAATTAATATTAGTATTAGAGGAATTCATTCACATGAAAGAGAAAGTTGACAGTTACTACAGTGACTTTTTCAAGGATTAAAAAAGGAACATTACATTTTCCCTGAAGTTTGATATTGTATTAACAACACTACTCTTATTATATTCCGAAAATAATCCAGAACACCTCAGTATATTTGTAAATTAACTGTTAATGTTTATGGCTGAAACCATACATTACAGTGAAAAACTTGACATTTTAAATAAAATACATAAATTGCTTTCATTAATAATTAATGTTTTAGTGACAAGAGTGTTAGTCTATGTCAAAAAAGCCACATGCATATATTTATAATGATGATCTACTTGATATTTAAAGAAAAGGAATAAATGTAATGTTGTGATTTGAGAAACCACTCAAATATTCATCTTCTGAACTAAAAAAACTTTTGAGTTCATATCAGCAATGAAATATTCCTCTAATAACTTGTCACAATGGTTTCTAAAAATGTTCAAGGATTATTTCTGTTTCTTTAAGTCAAAGCTTTAAGGTAGGACTAATTCTTTCTGAAATACCTTGATACTTATTTTTAAAATTTAATTCAATTGAAATGTACTTCAAATCTGTATAGTCTTTTCAATCTACATTTCCTTCAAAATATAAGAATTATAAAAAAATGTTTTTGAAGAACAAAATTATTTTTCAATTTCAGCACATTAACTTCTTCTGAGTGAGAAAAGGTTACAATGATGCTGTAAATCCACAATGTTTGTTATTAGGTAAAGCAGAGCAGGAGGAGCTAAACTGAGAGGCAAGAGGTATTTATATGTAAAAGAAAAATCGATTTCACTATGTTCAACTCACCACTGTAAAATTTCATGTGAAAACTTTCTTGTAATCACTTTATAACTTAAATAAACTGTCTTTAGTATCATGATCATCATCATTATTTTCAAAACATGAAAAACCCAGTGAATTTTGATTTTCTGATAGTTTTAAATGACTTTTTTCTAGCATGAAAATGATAAGAAGTCATGGAATTTTAGATCATCAGATGGATGAATTGTTATTCATTTAAGTTCAACATGATGGGACGACCATATTTTGTGGGAAACAAATAAAAATGATGCTGACAATAATAATGAGTGCAATTCTCCATTGCTGAGCAAGTTGAGATCTTTATTACTATGAATCAGTGGTGGATTTTCAGGGGAGGCCAGGCTTCCCCCAAAAAATTCATTAAACAACACTAAAAAATAAATATTTTTGATATTACCAATGGTTAGATTTAATTTTGTCTAAAATTACCATACATGTTTATGGCTGGAGAGTGGTAATTTAAAAGTAGTCATTTCATTGCTGCAAACACAGCATTTCTACACATGGGTAGCACTATCAAGTAGTTATACTCTTTGCGTATGGCACTGCTTGTGCTTCGGTAGCCTGCATCACCTTTGCAGGGTACCGGACAGCCCAAGTTGACACATGCCTCCCTGTTACCATACAATGTCTCCCAACTAATAAGAAAAGGGTAGTTTTATTTTGTTCAGCTTTGGAGTTGGGTTTGGAATGTTGGCTCTCATGCGTCTGGCCTCCTATGAAGGCGTGTTGTGGACACAGACAGTGGTTGCTCTTTAGTTCCAAGGGATCTATTGTGGGGCAGTATTTCAGCAGATACATTAACATTTTTATTGGAAGTGCTGTTTTCATGAAGAAGTGAACCTAAAAGATGAGAAATATTAAATTTATTTATTTTATTTGGAATGTTGCTCACAACATTTTTCCAGTAAACTATATGTCAATGACTTTCAATTTTACAATATGATTCCATGTCTGAGTTAGTATGGAACTCCTTAAGTTTTGAACCTACTGTCTAAGTATGTAACAATGTGTATGTCCAGTTTGTAACAAGTACTGTACTTCAACTTGTGAATCAATGACCACTATCATGATCAGTTTTTTCATCCTGTGTCTCTTCATCCATTGAGCAGATGCTGAGACGGTCCCTTACTCTACTTTTTCACACAAATTCAGCTTCACTATCTGTGCACCAGTTGTTGAATTCTCCATTTGAGACTGCGTCCCCCTCCCCACCGAAAAAGGTCCTGGAGTTTTCATTTGTTACCTCCCTTTATTTGGTAAAATTGATTTAAAAATGTCTGTTGGAATTATGTAATTACTTTAAAAATAATATTGTTTAATATCATATAGGCCAAACTACAAAAATTATGTTTATTATTTAACAAAAATCTATGATTCCCCCCCCCCAATTACTCGTATCATCAGGATCCGCCCCTGAATCTGTTGTTAGTTTACCAATGCATATGAGTTTTTTATTACTCTGGAGTGAAAATTGCTTAGACCTTGCCCTAGGTTGAACAGAGCTTCTCAGGAGGGAAATACCTGGAGGAGAAAACCCCACAAGCGGATGTGCAGGTCAGTGTCAGATTCGCGTTGTGGGAGAAGCACACCACCACCACTAGCAATAAAAAACATAATTGAGTTTCAGAAATAATGTTCACAGTGGTTGACATGTCTCAAAACACTAAAATACACACTCACTGTCTGATCAGTTTTTAAATAAAGGGTGTATTACATACTAATCCACATTTACTATTCTCTTCCCAATTTTTACACATATTTTTGATCAATTTCAAAAGTGTAGTAGAGAATTACATAGTTATGAAAATACTGTTATGCACTAGAACAATAGTCTGAAAATCTCTATGCATCAGTATATCAATAAAGAATATATTATTAAATTATTTCTAGTTGAATTACTGGATGTTGCCCAGGTATTTATTAATCCCACTCAATCATTGGAATTATAATGAATGTTATCCTGAGTGAATACTTCAATAAAGAAAGTAACACATTTTAACACTTGGTCAGCTGTGACGCTGTCATCCAGTCCAGATCTGGAACATCCCCATAGTGTCATTCAAGTTCGTGATTGGATGACAATGTCACAGCTGATCAAGTTTCAATGGACTTAATGTTTTAATGTATTAATATAAATAAGTATAAAATGTAAATAATTTTACATCCCCACCATGTGCCTACTCCCCCTATTCTACTCAATACTGCTCCTCGCCACCCAGCCCAGCCAACTCCATCCTGCAACTGCATCCTGATGATATCCAAACACTTGTTAATCATTTGATGATGATAATAATAATGTATAGATAAATTCACTACTGTAAGAAAAAACACTACACCAAAAATACTACTTCCAAGATGACCCATATTTTTGTTAGGAATTACAACTTACAAACATTGGCAACATTGCCTAGAACACGTTTCTATGCTGACAAGCTAACTCACAAAACCGGCATTGCTGGCCGAATAGATTAATAATGCTCCCTGAAGTCACAATTATGGAATAGGGGAAGGTCGGCGTATCTAGTATGTAGTCTTCTAGTTCCTGGTGCAGACGCTGCCGGAATCCAATACAGAGTCCGACGACCATAAGGGGGAACCCAGGGAAGGGAGATAATCGCCACCTCCCCACGAAAAAATACGCACTACACTTTTGGGACGAATGACCTTAGTAAGCGATGCACTCGGAATCACTAACAATCAATCAATCAATTAGTATAAGCGGAGGACCAGTAACATGGGATTCAATGAAGCATCGGGAGGTTGCAGTTTTCGTCACACAAGGTAAGCTCATGTCTCTGAGCGTGATTGCCAAGACTGTCACACACACATTTACGTGTTTCCTGGCGGCGTTGGGAGAGGCTTAGCTAGAGGAACGAATTCTTCCAACCTGACCCATATTTTTGTTAGCGATTACTACTTACAAATATTGGCAACATTGCCTACAACAAGTTTCTATGCTGGCAAGCTATAGTCACCATAGTGACGTTCAAGCTTCCGACTGGACGAAACAGTCAACAGCTGATACCATCCAGGGGCAAAGTTGCCTAAATCGCGGTATACAACGACAACTTCAATGCTCAACGACTGGCGATGAACGTGGAATTTCACTCCCGAACAAAACATACAGACGTTTGCCATAATTTTGTTCGGAAAGTTGTGGAGTCAAAACGATTGAACTTGGAAAATCTGGCATCAGTTGACATGTCAGCAGAGATTCTCGCAAAGGTCTTAACCACTGGAAGCACGAGATATGCAGAGCGGAGCTGCTAGGATGAATAAATATGAAGTAAATACTGGGCGGTCTCGAAGGAAAGTGATGGAGTTATCGAAGAAGATAAAACCGACAAACCGAACATACGACTGCTGCTTTTGCTTCATTTTCTCCATGTGAATGCTTACTGTGTGTGCTGACCACAATTCTAACAACAACAAAAACAACAACAACAACAACAATAATAATAATAATAATAATAATAATAATAATTATTATTATTATTATTATTATTATTATTATGATACAACAGCAGCAGTCGTATTATATTGCAATGCATTGTAGTAAGAAAATAGTACGTTTAAGATTTTAAAACAAGTATACAGTGTAGGTATAAGCATTTCTGCCACTGTTGTTGCATAACTTAAACAGCAGATAGGATAACCACTATCTATATATTTCTGCACCGTGAGTTCATTGCGTTGAAGCCCCGACTTCCGCGGGCGCGCGGCCGCCGCTGGCTGTGCCCGTGGGCCGGGGCTGGTGGGGGCGGCGGGTAGGCGGCCCTGCTCTGCTCGGTCTGCCGGCGCGGCTCCGTCGGGGGCGGAGGGGCTGGGGCGGGCGAGGGGCGAAAGAGCCGCCTCACCTGCGGAGGACGCACCATTCATTTATTCTTTATTTTATTTATTTATTTACAAACACAGCCGCATGCCCGAGGCGGGACTCAAAGCTGCGATCTTCTGGTACGGCACTACTGCCTTAGCGACGTCGGCTATATGATCCGCGTCCCC